TAGAAAAAAAAAACAGCTCAAAACAAATCTAAATATTTTGAAAATTTTATCAAATATAGAAAATGCCTATATAAACTGCTGAATATAAACATTCAGTCAAAATCTCAAGTATCTGCRGTCATTTGTTTTAGAGTTACACCAAAATAAGGAAATCGCTAAATGTGAAAATCCAATGTGATAAAAATTTAAATTTCAAATGCTCATAAAAATTTAATTTGAATATCCGGTGGACTTTTTATTTGTGATAAAGATTGAAAAACATKTAAGGAATCTTGTATTAAATTTTCAAATCTTAGATATAAAAGGAAATTTTTTTATGAATTTCTAGCTTAAAATAATTTGTGGAATTTTCGTGATTTTTACGTATTTTGTCAGAATTCAAACTTTGAATGCTTATTGAAGTCAAAAATCGAAGCACTTTTATTGCCCCAAAACGTGATGACAGACACAAAAAAAAAGCACACATCATGGTAAAATCAATACATTCATCGCTCCGCTCAGAATCTAAAATGAAATAATTAATAATTGTAGTTCTTATCCCTGTGAATCTTATCAAAAAACCAGAATTTTAGAATTCATTATTTCGTGAGATATCGGAATGGGTAAATCCTTGCGGGACACCCTATTTGTTCATGGCAAACACCGATCACCCCTCTCAGCCGTCAACAAAAAATAAAATAAAATACTCCCAAAGTGGTAAAGTAATTTATATTTATTACTTTACCGATAAATAATATTAATATTACTTACTTAAAAATACTTTACCAAAGTAATATTATCGRAGTACATCAGTCATCACTACTGTCGTGGCCACCACTAATTATTTATCACATTTATTTAATAAAGATTAAAGGTTATCTCTTATCAGATATCACGAATTGCAAATCGACTGTATTGGGATTAGCGGCTGCCGGCTTCTAAATTTTGTATGGTGATGAAGATATTTTATTGCTCATTGTAATAATAAACTTTTGTAATAATCGTTATTCGTTCGACGTACGTTTTTACGAAAATGATGTCCCAGAGCAGTGCACCAGTTTTAGTGTTGAACACCAACACCAAAAGAAAATTTGGACATAAAGTTCAAAAAGAAAATATAGCAGCAGGTAAAAATTTATCTTTTACATCTTTTATCGATATTTTTTAATTTTCGTTCAAATTTTATAATAAAAAAGTTTTAGATTCTGAGCGGAGTGATGAGTATTGATTTTACAATGATGTGTGTGTGTGTGTGTACATGATAAGTTGTCGAAATAATACTTTGATGTTCAACTTCAGTAGATAGCTTTTTCGGTTGGAAAGTGAATCTATTTGCTACATTGGGTAGATACAATTTTGAATTTTCCAGTARCTTTCAAAAGCACCGGGAGAAACASAAAAAAATTAAGGAAAAACGGGAATTTTTACGAAAATAGATTTTAGATATTGATGTAATTCTAAAACAAATTACCATAGACACCTGAACTTTTCACTGGGTAATAGTGTAATTTTTTATACTTGATAAAATTTTCAAAACATTTCAAATCTTTATAAGTTATTTATAGACTTTTAAATTTTCAATCTTTTTAGTTTTTTTTTTATAAATGACAATAAGATTTAATCGTTGGGTAAAAATGCTTCAAAATTTAATACAAGACTTCTTATATAATGTCACAATGGTAGTTAAAAAGTTTTAAAAATACATAGTCATAATTTTTTTTAATAAGCATTGAAAGTTTGAATTTTGACACAATATGTAAAAATCACAAAAATTTGCAATTTTTTTCGAGTTAGAAATTCATAAAAATTTATCTTTAAAATCTAAGGTTTGAAAATTCAATACAAGATTTTTTATGAGTTTTTCTACTTT